TTCAATAAAACCTGTAAACATTTCCCCCCCCCCCCGACAGTGAAAATACAAATGCTCAGATGTTTCAAATGACCCAAATAGAGCTAAAGTTTGCAGGATAAGCAAATGATGTTTGGATACTATATTGACAATCAGAAGCAAGTTACATAAGGATGACCATTTACGGATATAAAATAGAATTAATATAGTTGCCAAGTACTATTCAGTGTTAACTTTCAGCTTAATGCCCATATGTGACAAACCAGAAAGCAGTTTGCTGAGAAACTCAAAGCTGGGAAAACAACAAACAACTTCAAAAAATAGCTCCTTAGGAGTATGAAGTTACTCCTAAATTAATGGGACATCTGAATCTCAAGCATTCCTAGTAAATAACAACTTTTAAGTGTGTAATAAAGGAATTTTAGACAAGATATTGCAAAAATATGTTTAAAGATGTACAAATATGTTATTAAACCAAGAAATCAGATAATCAAATCTGATCAAAACTATTTTGGACAGAAAGATTCATTTTTCAAAGAGAGGTTGTAAAGAAAAAAGCTATTAACATATAAAATCAAAGAAAGGATGGTGAGCTTTAATCTAAACAAACTTGGTAACATTAATGAGGACTAACCAATGAAGGCTGAGACAGACACACTAATAGACAATACCAAAGAGCTGTGCTGTACTTCACAAGACAGTTGACTGCAGGCCCAGCTGGCCAGCTAGACTTTGGGTACTCTTCAAACTTATACTTGACTTTTTCCTTATTTCTGTTTGCAGAAAGCTAGGAGGAAGAGACAGGGTCAAAATCATGTTCTTTATCCCTAGGCTCCAGGAGTCAAACAAGGGACAGACAGACTTTCCATTCAACATCACAACTTCATAACTCTTCCTCAAAAACTGCTGAAAGGAAGGGGAAAAATTCTGTGCAAAAAATGGCAGATCATTCACTAACTTCAACACGAGTTACAAGAAAAGTATTTTCTTCCCACCCTATCATAAAAATGGGAAGGGGTGGAGAAAATTGGGAAGAGTAGGAGAGAGGTACACGTTCCTCCAAGCTTAAGCATTTTTATTAAGTACTAGCTATCTGGGCACTCTCCTGGCAATGGTCAACTACTTGTTACCAGCTTTTGCAACTAGTAAAATTCTGTGAAGAACAGTTGGCTGGAACTTAAAACACCTCAGCCAGTCAGGAAATTTGGTGGTATTCTTCACAAGCATTACTCTATACTTAATGCCTATGTTCACAATTGTATTTATTTTCTACAGCTGTCCTCAGTCCTTGGTACACAGGGAAGAGAAGGATGGCACTAGATGTGGCTATGGTGCTAACACACGAACTGGTTAACGCCAATTCCATTGCATGCTCTAGTCAGGTTTCATTCAGTAAAGAAGAAACCTGTTATTTCTCTGACTGTTTTCACTCAGAATATGGAGATATCAGTGCTTCCCTTCTCAAGATGAGTTCTGTAAATAGTGGGAAGCAATTAGACTACAAGAGTATCAGTGAGGAACATTATTAGTCCAAGACAATGTCCTATCACTGTTTCATCTTTCCTCAGAAAAAAAAATTACTTTCTCCCTGAGACTTTGTAGAAAAAACAGTATTCCAAATGATACCATCAAAGTACAGTTTAAACCGAAATGTAAAAAGAGAATGGCCCAAGAGAGATGGACTTTGTAATTTGACACTAAACAAACCTCTTCTGCAAGCATATGTCGTTTGGCCAAAGGAGTTAACAACTGATTTAAGATGAAGGCTGTAGAAATATGACATGTGTTTAACCAGAAATTAGGAATTTCCTTTTACGTTCTAAATATAAAAACTATATGAATTAAGTATAGAAAAAAACCCCCCAACATACTTACAGGTGCTCCGTAACTGTACTCACCTTTCATTAAGAATCACACTAGATTATTACTGATTTTTAAATTACAATTTTTGGGAAATGTGAAGACAAGGGACATACACCATAGGAAGACATTTCATATACCTGTTCTCCTTGCCATTTTGTATCACTGAATGCCTATCAGCAGTGGTTCTTTCACTACAAACATATGTGTTGCGCCGTGTCATTGCTCCGGGGGCAGTATTATTCTACAATTAAAAAACATAGGCTTGTTATTCCCCACAAAAGGCTATTCTGGGGTTAAGTCTACATATAATTGAAGGCTGGTTTACTTCATGCTAGTTCTACACAGTTATAAAACTTACAATAATTAAATATGTTAATATACAAACACCTTCCAGTATTTTTAAGGAATAATGCAATCAGAAGAAATAATTCTAACAAGTTGTTCTTGTATTTCATCTTGATGGCTCAAAATTAATATTGCTTAAAGTTTTTAATTACCAATGTTCTGAATTACAACTTCTCAGCATGTACCGCATTCATCTACATCTGGATAGTGTATGTCTCTACAGCCTGTTTTTGAAATACTTTACCGATTGTAGAATTTTCCTTTAAGTTAAAATCATACCTTAAACAAGATAGGAAAAGCAAAGACTTAAGAAACACATGTGGTAAAATTCAGTGGAAAGGTAAACACGGACTTTTAAGTATTAAAATACTATAAAACACTAGACAAGTTTTAAAAACAGGGAAGAGTAAGTCAAATTAAAGAGACAAATTGCAGAGAATTTTAATAAGACATTTTTAAAAATATACATTTAAATATAAGCGTAATACATTAAGGACAAGAGGACCAGGGGAACTTAAACTACAGACCTTACTTTAGAGGGGAGAAAAGAAATAGAATTACTTTGCCTCTGTCTTTACAGAGAAAGAGGGTGGAGATATGCCCAAGTTGGCGGTCAATTTTCCAGGAACGACTGAGAAGCTAGGTAATTCACAGATAACAGAATTATAAAAAGTTAGATGCAATTACTGTAGGAAAAGCACGGTGGTCCAGATAAACATGCACCCCCAGGTTGTAGAGGAAGTAAAAGCTGGCAAGCCTTATAATTTTTCTCCCCACCCCAAGAACATAACACAGGAAACTGCATATGGTTGGAAAGTGGAAAAAACCTTTAAAAATTTTCTTTAAAGAAAAGGATCACGGGGCAAAGCAGGAAGCAAAATAGGCTATTAACTTTGAACATCACTGCTGGGGAAAGTCTTGGAGGAGGCTAGCTTAAGGGAATGACTGGTCAGCACCTGGATAAGCACATGTTGATTAAGGATGGCCGCTAAGAATCAGGCAGGGGACTTCATGCTCAACTAACCTTTTGGAGGTCTTTGAAGAATTACTGCTATAGTAGACATGGGAAATTCAGCGGATTTTAAAAATAGCATTAACAAAAGGTTTCATATAAATGGTCACAACAGACAATCATGGGAAGAAGGATAAAAAAAAGGAAAAACTAGTTCAAGCACAAAAGGAGAGTAACCAAACCTTTTTTTGTTTCTGAACCTGAAATAAAACTGTTAAAGTGGAGTATTCTCAATAACCAGCAAAAGCTCTTCTAGTGCCTCAAGGCAAAAATATTTGCTATACAGGGAGTCCCAAGCAACGCAATCCCTGAGCTGCCGATTTAACAATGAAGCCATCTTGTCTGTTTAAAAGACTGCTGACCTGTTATACATCTTTATGTGAATGTACAAATAAGAAATGAAAAAGTGAACTGTGCAACCTCCTGGTGTTAAAAAGTACAAAGAGTATCAAAAGTGTTTTAGATTAGCAGAACTATTAATTAAATCATATGATGTACACAGCTGTCTCAAGGGTTCTCAAGTATTCTTCATTGCATATTCCTTAGGGATAGGCATGTGCCAAGCATCAACAGAAGTACTCCTGGCCCTTTCCTTGTACTTTACTCCTTAAGCGCCCCATGCCTTCAAACCTGTTTATTTAAAAACCCCATTGATTCTTCTACTTTCCTCTGACATTTGCCACGGTGCAAACTCCCCTCTCTTTACTGAACTTGCTAGCAATGGAAGCTGTGCAACTAAGGTGAAGTTTTGTTTATATGTTCTTGAGAGGTCACGCTGTGCAAGACACTTTGTGGACCCCTCGCAAACCAATGATACATTGAAGTATTACATATTAATATTTGCATATCAATTTGCTCTGTGTTCCTGAACATATTAGAGAATGAAGCACCTAGAATATCTGACAGTGTTTTTCTGGTGAGAAATACGCACTAACATGTAGCTTCCTTCTTTCCACCTGCTCCCTTAGAACACTAAATATTTGTTTCCGTTGAGAAGACATCACATAACATTAAAATGTATTGTGATGTTGCACATCTAGAAAGGCAAGACAGCAATCTCTGTGCTGGATCAAACTTTAAAGACTATGCATTTTCAGGTTTGGGAGTGGATAAGTTTTGGTATTCGTATCTGAAATCAGAGGACTCTAAACATGCACTTTCCCAGCTCTTTCTGCAATGCAAAGACAGATCAGTACACATTTTTTCTGTTTGGCTCAGATTTCAGAAGTTGCAAGAGGAGATTTAAGCATTTCAAGCTTTCAAATTTCAGTTTTAGCAAGAATACAGTCTTGGTATTGGGGCCTTTACAATTTTTAGCGTACAACTTTTCACAACTCATCAAGGAAGTTCTCCAGCTACGACTTTTTTGTTCAGCCAATCTACAGATTATTAATCTCTGGACATGACTAAATTGCACAGGAAGGCTGAAACTGGTGTCAACAGCACCACACTCCCTGATGGAATAACAACCCCCAGGGTGAGGGTTAGCTGCAAAAGTTCATCTTTGTGGTATTGTCTGCCTTGTTTGCCGGAGGTGTTGACACTGCAAAAGCACATGTTGAGACTTGTGAGTACATGCACAAGCTCCAATCACAGCACAAAGGATGAATTTGTGGTGCAGAGTCCTCCTCTTTTCCCAGAGAGCCTTGTGTCCACTGCTCAGGCAGGCTATTTTCACATTAAGAGACACCAAGGTGAGGACTGATGAAAAAATTTCTAAGAATCAGCTTCTGACTTAGAATAACAAACCAGTCTATTTACTTAAGGGCACCAGTATGTTTTTTGGTCCTAAAATTTTCCAAACATACCATCTGTTCTCTTCCAGTTTTCTTAAAGCTATACTAAGGGCTCTAGTGCACCCTTATTACAAGCATTGAGGAAAAATCCAAAGCTGTGAGTAATAAACAAGGAGTTATTAAAAAATCAAGGAATTATTAGTTGCTGCTAAGTATGCAGCACCTGTAGCAGGTTTTCATTATTAATTTGGTATTTGCCCAAAGAACCTGAAGATTTTTCATATGTACTTGTTCAGCTTGCAGAACTATTTAGTTTGCAAGATTTTAAACACTCTGTCAACTTTAGAAGTATAGCTTGGAGCCACTTACTCCAAGCCCAGACTTAGCTACCTGGTCTACAAGCACAACTGTTATCCTTAAGTGCATGCTTGTAAGCTTTGTTATTTAATAAGAGCAGCACACAACTGGCTGCGGGTCTCCAGCAAGGACCAGTTCTACCACTTTCGCTGTATCTGTCAAAGTAATAATTATTTTTAAACAGTATTTGTGTGTCTCTTCAGTGGTTTTCTCATCATATTACTGATTTTAGAACTTAAGTGCTCACTGAGAACACAAACTCTCTCCACCTCAAACTTTTTTCAACTTCAGGGCAATATGGTAACTGCAACATCCTTTCTTTTCCTTCTAGATGCATGCCAATACTGTAAGAAATACAACTCCCTCATCAATTCCAGGAATTGTGTAAAAAGTCAATGTTTCCCTCCATCCCCAATGGCCAGAAAGCAAAAGACTAATCTGTGGCAGGGGCTGGGGTGGGGGGGGAAAGAAGTTTGTGCTAATGAGGAGCTATAAACAGACACAATTTAAAACACTGAGTAACATCACAAGTCTGATTCCATGTTCACCACCTTGTACCACTGCTTGTAGAAGACCAGTTGCACACTGATTCAGAAGAGAGTAGTATCCTCTATAGTTATGAGTTCAAATTTTATTTCAGCTACAGTAGTACGAAATTTGAAATAAGACTACTGGAATAAAACCCCAGGATTTGGGAGTGATGTAGAATAGCAGTTCAAAACACTAAAGATACTAAATGCAAAATATGTTGTAACTGTACTTAGTAAAGTCCAATGTAAGACAAAACTGATTTGATTATCCTAAGAACTGTCATGTAAGAACAAACAAAATCTGAATGGTTTCTGGACTGATCAAAAGCCAAGGGAATGGGTAGGGGATCACAAAAAAATCAGAAAAGGGTGCCCCAAAATCATGAGGTGGTGTTCACATTTATGAATAACAGCTGCTATACTAGACGACTTGTTTTTCCAAGGAATCTCTTCGGCTGAAATCCTCCAGCCAAGTCACTATCAGCCGCTGACAACTGACAATACAGAGCCAATAAAGTAAAACAAATCTCATTTTACTTCTTTTGCTTCAGATTGTCAAAAAGCTGTGAGCTCAGCAAGTTCTGTCCTCCTCTGTTGTAAGTAATGGTGCTGAGTATATGACCAAATATGACAGCTTTGTGAGATAAGTTTAAAAAGAATCACTCCATTGCAAGTTGAATAAAGGACTAGGAAGTTATTTCTTCTTAAAAGGAAGTTTTTCAAAATAATCCCAAAGTTTTAGAAATTAAAAGTTACAAGACTCAAGAGTGATTATGTGAAAACAGATTTCCAATTTTGCCTCAGAGGGAGGCACCACTGACTATGCAAGTTAAAGCCAAACCGAAGAAGAGATTCTTTCTTTTGGCACACTGCCTACTGTTCGACCCTGTAAGTTCACTAGTTACGCACCTTAGTGTGTTTTTTTTGTTGTTACTGAGGTTTAGGGGCAGGTGGGGGAAGTCCACAAGGACAGAAGCCAGGCACACTGCTTTTAAATACAGGTTGAAATTACACCTTTGAACAGTTTTTTAGAGCTACATTTTTTTGATAATCTTAATATACATGAGTTGGAATAGCCTGTTTGAAAACAAAGATTAGGTGGCTCCTTATAGACAAGAAACTATAAAACAGGATAATAAACCCAGAGATTTCAATTCTTCTGTACAGAGGCCACAGAAGAGTAGTTGGTGATATCAGAAATACCTTAACTCATACGAAATTTCAGGGGACAGCCTTTGGGTTCAGTTTCTTTTAAATTATTTAATACCCAGATTATGTCTGTTCGCTAACAACTACTAGTGCTGATTATTAATACCTACTAACTACTTCAGGAATATTAAGAGGTAACTTGAGTAGCTGACTGATGCAAGGGGGAGAAAAGGCAAAAGTATGAGATACCTACATTTATTCTTGTTGAATGAAAAATCAGCACCACTGATAAATCACAGGTTTAACACTTTTTCACCCCTCAAAAACATTTCATGGTTTTGATAAATAAGTGTTTCTACTTACACTAGGGACAGCCGAACTTTTCTTACGTTCAGGAATATCAGCCTTATTGGGATTGCTGGCATTTCCGAGCATTGGACTAGCTGGTGCAATTCCTCTTCCTGCAACAGCACTACTGCTGGATTTTCTTGACTGAATTCCTTCCTCTTTGAGGTCACTGTCTGTAGTACTAGTCTGGCTTCTTTTGGGATATGCCACTACTGAGGGGATGGATGGTCCAGCTTAAAAAAAATCAAAACGAGAGCAACAGGAAAAGGATTTTTCTTCTCAGAAGTTCAGTAGCTATTTTTCACTATAATGGAAATGTATTCACACATGAGAATCAAAATAATTAACACTGGGAATCAAGAGTTGCAAAAAGATAATTAAATTATCAAAACACACGTAATTGCAGAGGACAGTAAAATACTGTGAAAACCAAAATTAGTGTTTTAATAACAATTAATCAAAAAGTGTATGTATATACACACACATATAAAAACACATACAAATATATTAAAAAAAAAATACATAAAAAAGCATCACAAAACACAGTAACCATCATCCCAAGGAAAAGCAACCCGACTCCCCAAGGAAAGCAACCTCTGAATGCACTTGAAGTATTTAAAAGTAGACCTAAACAGAGACTCCTTGTATGAGTTAGCATCTAAGCAGGAAGATGTTTAAGATATTTAGAAAACCCTAAGCTACTATCCTGCACACTCATTAAGCAGAAGAGTTCTAAGTTTGTCTGAGTCACCATTCTTTAGAAATTTAATTCCTGCAGGACAATCAAGTGACACTACCCTCAGGAAACAGGAAACAAGAAATACTGGCAAACTGACATTTCTTCAAGTTTTAGACACAAGCTGACCTACTAGTGTCAAAAGAAAACAAAAGCTGAACAGACACACAAGAGCATGGGGGAGGAGTGCTGTGCTTTTCATGAAAAAGGGGGTTGCAACATTCTCTTCAATTTGTGTAACAAGACTTTCCCAGCACAGTCAGGAATGCAAGGCACAACACAAGACAGACTAAGAGAATTAAGTTGGTGTATTCAGCATGCTTCTAGAAGCTTTTGAAGGCTTTATAACAAAACCCATTAAAGAAAATATTAGTCATTCAGTAAATTATTTAACCACCTTGCTGTGAGCTACACTGTTGTCATCCTCCTTATCTTTGGGGGGTGGAGACAAATTGAGAAATGGAACAGAATTGGAAGTCACTATATTCTGCAACACTGAAAATGAGAATTGCTCACCGTGATCACTGTACCGCCGCTGTTTCTGGCTAGAAGATATGCTTCTTTGAACTTTGTGATGAGGAGATTGTCCAGTGCTATTATTAAGGTCACTACTTGGCCTAACTTTGGCAAGTGAAAGATTGCTGCTGGAGCTTGAATCACTTGCATCCAACTACAATACAAACAAGAATATTAAAACAAGGAGTTCAGACAATACAAATTAAACATCCACCACATTATGGGAGCAGTAACAGGGAGGCAGAAGGAAGATGGCTCTGGTACGTAGGAAATTTTGTGACAGCAAGGAAGTTGCTTAGAGGCCTCAACTTCTCTTAGATTCTTGTGCAACTGTCTTTGGTGAAACTCAGCGGAATCTGCAGCTCCTCAAAGGACAATCAGATAAAGAAAATCCATCTCTACTTTCAGTACTCTCTCCTCAGAGTTCTCTAAGATTTTAACAGGAAGAGAGGATACATTCAGTAGAAGCCATCACAGCAACTCCTCCAGCAGAGGAACCAAGAGCAGCTTACCCATACCAAGCTCTCTCAGCATCATATGGAAAAGTAATTTACAAGGCAAGAACTTTTTTTAGGTTGATTGGTCCTGCTCCTTGGTTCTCTTAAAGTATTTACAGCTGGCACATCCACACTTGAGCTCCTAGACTGGACATACAACGTCCTTCAGAGGAGTAACTGTTCAGCAAGCAGGGTAGTTTTGGGGAACCTAAAGGCAAGAGTTTACTGACTCGGATCAGGGTGAGAACAAACAGCATCATTTGGACAGTTGACACTGATGATTAGAATAATGTGATTTTAATTGTATAGGAATGCAATGCCTATAGTTACTGACTTAATTTTTGCTTCTAACTTTGTTAAGGACCCTTTCTGATTCCTTTGCTTCTTTGCATTTGTGAGAATGTTACTTACCTCTGACGATTTCCTTCCTAGCAGTAAGTATGTAGCTGTGATTTCATCATACTTCATTTTACTAAGGGATTCTTGAATTTCTTCTTGAGAATATCCCATTCCTACCATAATATCTAAAATGAAATACACACTCTGTAAGTAACAGAAATACTCTAATGTTTAGGCTGGCTGAGTATTTAAGTTCAAGAGAAAGAACAGAACTTTTAAAGAATTAAACAAAGCAATTAAGTGTGATAACATAAGCCTGATGAAATATCAATATTAGAAGATTAGTTACTTTTTCCAAATGGCAAACAAATACAGAGTGGTAGAGGAAAAAAAAACCAAACCACCACCCACCTCATGCAAACAGTATCATATTCTGGAAAATACTTGATTACCTATTCTTTTCTGGTCCGAGATGTCTAGTTCTGGTTCAACAAAAGGTTTAAGTTCATCCTCCTCGTGCCCTGCATTGATCCACCTGTCCTTCATAATTTGCTATAAAAGAAAGGCATTTGTTAGTATAATACACTTAGCAGCAAAGAAAACAAGCTGTTTAAAGAACGACTCCCCTATCTACCAAACACTAAGGCCTTTCCTACTTTTTCTTTTCCAAAACAAGCCCCAGTACCTGTTCAGTTTTGCTTTGCTCCGGTAAGGAGAATTAACTATGCACATCAAGCCAAGCTGCTTCCCGATCATCTGAAAGCTAAAATCGCGTAACACAGACCAGGAACAGTGCGACAACTCTGACAAGTCTAGCAGGTCCCAGCTCAACTATGGAAGTCCATGGAAGCCACTATTGTTTCAGCCTTTCTCCTCCACGATGGTACAAAATGCAGGCAAAAGGCAACCACACCATAACCTAGCAGCCAGTACTTCCAGTTCACATTTGAAAATGTGGAAAATGTCCTGGTCGATCATCCATTAATGCAGGAATCCACAAGGTAACCATCAAGAAAAGTTACATGAAGTATGCGGTGTAGTTTCACATCCATTTTGAAAGTAACTGTGGAGTCAGGTGTCTTGTAACCCCAGTAAACAAAATCTTAAAAAACATCATACGCTTCACTCAACACCCGGGCCCCCCAAACCTACTCCAAAGAAACTGTTCAGGAAGGGTATGACAATAAGAAGTCACAGCTCAAAAATACAGTTTGCAAAATGAAACGTCTAGCTTTCCGATGCACCCTTATTTGTGCCACTACCTCTAGAGTGCCTCTTTTTGTTGGGTTTAGCACCAGGAAACGTTTGAGGAGGTTTTCACAGTCTGTGGACATGTAGAAAGGAATCCTGTATTTTCCCCTTAGGACTCTTTCTCTAAGTTCCTTGGTAACAAAAGAAAAAATAGACAGTAAGTTGTAAGCAGCAAATCACTTAAAACATTAGATAAACACATCCAACATGTTCTACAAGAACACACCTTTAAGTTCTGTCCATCGAAAGGAAGAGATCCACTCACAAGAGTATAAAGAATAACACCTAAACTCCAAACATCTACTTCAGGTCCATCATATTTCTTCCCTTGAAAGAGCTCTGGAGCAGCATATGGTGGGCTGCCACAAAAGGTGTCCAGTTTATTTCCAACTGTAAACTCATTGCTAAAACCAAAGTCAGCTATTTTAATGTTCATATCTGCATCTAGCAATAGATTTTCAGCCTGGAAGAGAAAGAATAGTTTGTAAAATGAAGTTAAAGTATTTGATTTAGAATGCTACTGTCTGTTTTTCCTTGTTCCTAAAAGGCAAAAAGCTGAAATATCTGTTAACATTCCCATCCTTGCAAGGTCTTTAGGTATGCTTTGGTCTATCATTCACATATCTCCTATTTTAAAAATCTCTGTACAATGGCTTCAGATTATGGGAGCTGTTATGCTACCTGAAAACTGTGTTATTACCATCTACCTATTTTTTCCACAGAAACGCACCCTGAGCAATTGTAACTTTTTTAATGTATTAAGATAAAAACAAGGTATGGTCTCATATCCATATTTTATGTGGCATTCTTACAAACGTTTGGTAATATACATAACCTTTAACTTTTTTCAAGTGGTTTTTGTTGTTGTTGATGGTGTTTTGTTTAAGTTACAAAGCTATATGTTGAACAAGTTATATGGCAACGCTATTAATATGAAAGGCACAGTTTAAAGAAGGGATATACCATTTTGAGCTAAACTACAAAGAAGCCATACTTCAGTTTCATCATCACAACTGTTAATTCGTTCTGAGAACTTGTCATATCTCTATCAAAGTAGTCCCCCTTTATTTTTTTTTAAAGATCTCTCAGCTAACACTGATCTGCATCAGACTTGAATCTGACCACAGGTTGAGAGGCAGCCATTAAATTTCTGTATTTAAAAGCCTTACAAATCCTCTTCCTTTTATTTGAAATGGTTCTATACTGTAAACATTCCTCAAAACTTGCTATAACATATGCAAAAAAATAAATCAGCAAGCTTAATACACACTACATTTTATCGGCACAATAAAAATCACACCCACAGGTACAGAAGCTGACACACACTTCATGCATTTTTTCCCACTCACCTTCAGATCTCTATGAACAATATGTTTTTGATGGCAATACTGCACTGCAGATACTATCTGGATAGAAAACAAGTCAAATTATATAAGTGACATCTCAAAGAAACAGGCATTTTAATCAAAAAGTTCAACATTTATTACTAAAATTGTCATGTACTTCTCCAGTCAGAGCTATGTACCCAACTACTACCGTGACCAGAGTATTTGGGGAAAAGCTGCTAAATAACTTAGGTGTTTGTTATTTGATCTATTTGGTTTCTACTATACTTGAAAGAGGATTTTGTTTTTCCTGTGTTGCTAATTATAGACTAGTAGAAGCAATGACTTTCAGAAAGGTTACTGAAGTATTTCCATTCCAATACTGTATACAGCTATAAAAGCTTTCCCTCTAGACTGAATTTTCCAGTCCCTCTCCAAAGGTGATTTTTCGTGCCACAGCACAGAGAAAAAGGGTAAGAAATGGGCTTAGCTACTGCAGAAACTACTGGGAAACAGCTTGTTTGTCAAAACTTATGCAGCCAGAAGCAACTATGCATCTGACACAGCTCTGCTGTCCACGTGCATATGGTTTACTGTATTTTGTATACTGTACAAGAGTAGCAAGCTCAATGGAAAAAACTGTGTCTCAAGTGTAACGGAATAATTTCTTCCATCATAATTTCCAAATATCATTAAGTTTTTCCTGCTTTATATAGCAAACTATATAAGCTATTTACATAGTACAGTGTCCTAGTACATTGCTTTAGAGTCACAAGCATTGCTGCAGAACTCTACATGGAAAAGTCAGATAAAGTCTTGTTACATGATCACAAACGTGGTCAAATACATTTTATTGTCATGTCTACATGGTCAGAATTGAGGACAACGTTATCACTTCTTAAAATAAGTGAAACTGTACATAAAATAATTTACTGTAATAACTATGCTTAAATTAATGTATTTCCATTCTTTGTTCAAGATTAAGAAGATTTCCAACACAAAGATAAGATATCATTACTGTTACAAAAAAATAACTCATGATCAGACCACCCAGCTTGGTGTAAGGATCCTCCTGTACTGGTAAGAAGCACCTACTCTAAGAAGAGTAGGTGAAAGAACTGACCTACCAGTCAATTTTGCATTTGAAACTTTAGCACCAATGTTGTTTTGATCTTTGTGTCCCTATATTATTGAATCATGCGTATGAGCAAAATGCCACCTTAGAAACCAAGCAGCCTATTGAAAAGCTGAAATATTTCTATTACCTACACTTTCACTCAGTTTTCACTTTTTCCTCTTTGTACTGGCTCCCTCTTTCAGACCGAGTTCAGCTTTTTACAGTTCCTGAAACCGGCAAAGTTGTTCCACATCATCACTTGTATCATCTTTTTGGTTTTCCTTCCTTTCCTCTCCACTACTATTACTTTAGCACCAGTCACAAGCTCACTCTGGAGGTGGTTCCAAGGCTGGCATGACAAACACCTCAAGCTTTACTGGGGACTGCAAAGACAGCACTATACCACTGGCTCCCAAACTGCTTTTACTCTGACTATATAAGAGTGGAATGCCTAGCAGATGATCAATCAGTAATTTGCTTTGGAGACGCTTTTGAACTACTCTGCATTGCAACAGGATGGCACAGAGACTGCAGAAGTGAGTCCAGTCTAAATGGAAGGCAAATAAAGCAATGTGTACGACATTAATAACTGAAGAACAGCAGCCATAACTGAATGAAAAATAGGACAAAGCGTGGCTGCACTGGATTGACTCCCTTTGTCTTCCACCTTCCATCACTGTTTCCATTTACAGCCCCCTCACCTCTAACCTACTTGAGTGTGAGAAATCTGCTGATGCTTGGCAGGTGGGGAAAGAGGGGAAGAAACAGGCAGACCTTTCTGCTAGAGGTAACAATTGAAATACATTTCTTGGGAGGAACTTCAAAAATCTGTATAATCATAGGTTTTAAAGTACAAGTTAGAACAAGTTATCTCTAGGCAAAGAAACCATTCTTCATAAGGATTAAATGACAAAAAGATAGATAAATGACCTCTTGAGGTCTCTTCCACACTGCCACAAGTATTTTGTTTCTTAATTGAAACATATCAGATGTATTTTGTGGATTTTTTTTATTTGCCAAGATCTGTCATAACATCCACCTGCATTAAAAATTCTCAACTGCTTCTGCAGGGAAACAGCAGGAAGACTGAAGGAGGCCAGATCTAATTGGCTGTAAAAAAGGAAGCCAAGGAATTAATACACATGAATTTTGGGAGAGCCTCTGCCCTGAGTCTCAGCTTCCCATTTTTTGCATTAATTCTTATCCAGATGAGCAGATTGTTCTATCGAAAAAGGATGGTAAGATTGAACCAGAACTGCTTGGAAGTCTCTAACAGGGAAAGAAAAATGAGGTGACATTAAGAATGCAAAACGTTCTGGATCTGAATTTCTCACACATGGCTGCACAAAAGGAGCTTCAAACAGGTAACTGCAGAGCATGGCTGTATTTTTAGTGTTCATACCCTTTCCTGTGTTCCTTGTCAAGCGTGACTGGAATAACATGATCACTGTCTTTTTACATTCTTTTTTCCTGCTAAAAAACTTAAGTATGCGTAACAAAATGGACCAAAAAAAATGTTTTTTTTTAACAAGCAAAGAGAGGAGAATTATCAAATTCTGCTCTTTGCCTGCTAGAGAGGAAGTGCCTCCTCAGATAAAACACAAGTGTTTGATCCAGAAATGACACCTACTGAAAGAAACATGATCTGAAAACAAGATACAGTACAACCTATTGTAAGAACTAAGCTCTATACCATGGCACAACTGTTTCTTCAGTTTAGAGAGAGCCACTGTCTGTTAAACCAGTTAGCAAATTAAAAAAAAAAAACCACCCAACACCCCCAAAACCCCCTATTATGTCATAAGTCTCTATCTAACATAAGAACAGCTGCACTGAATCAGATAAAAGGTCTACAGAGAGCATTCTCCCTCCAACAGTAGCTAAGAGCTATACAAAGCTATTCTGGGACCACAGTAAGGTAAAATGAATAGTTTTTGAGATCTGTAAACCCAGCAAGATCTAGTTTCCTTTGACACTGCCCCGCAGTGTCAGACACTAGAGTCCTAGTGTCTAATAAATGCCAAGCTCTGATCAAAGTTGCCTGACTTCTGCCCTGCGCGCATGCTCTTCTCTCTAGCAAAGTGCAATGAGCTCGCCTACACTTTCTCTCCTTGGGTTATTGCTAGGGTTCTCTCTTTTTTTCCAGGCACTCACGCTTTTGAAGCTCACAAGAACCTTCCTTCTGTGAGATCAAGGTCCTCTAAAATTGGTTGAGCTCAGTGGCAGGGAAGTCAGCTGTGGAGGGAGGACAGAGCACAGCTGCCTGTGCCAGGAGACAAGACTTGTAAGAAGAAAATGAAAACATACTGCTGTATATTTCAGTGGATTTAAGTGACACCATCTACGTATCTTTATGAAGAGCATTTAGTCTACTGAAGTACAAAAGAAAAAAATAAAATCAAGCTGAGAATCTGAAGTACATAAAATCAACTCTTGATGGGTCAAATACCCAGCTCAGCAGGTAAGTATCTTTTAAATTCTTCCCCTTCACATTTGTTACTGAAAAATGAAGTTACATATATCTCGTACTACTTACATTATCCCATAAAATTAAGCACTAAGTGTACCTGTAAAACATGTTTGACCTGTTTCTACAAGGTTTCACCTGAAGAGGAGTCAAATTGTTAGAAAAAACAGGTAACTGTTGAACAAATGTGCAATTTCAATGGAATTACTGCAAGATCTTTTTCCACACAGCTCCAGATAAAAGAAGCTTAGGACAAAGAGCAGAGAACCATACTGGCAGAAGTCTTCAACATTCACATCTGAGAGAGAACAGCAAATCCTCTCAAGTTACTCTGAAGCTCTTCAAGCAACATTACAAAGAACAAGGGAACAGTCTGGGATTTAGAAGAGACGACTGAAGTGGGAATGACTGCTCCACAACCCGTCACATCTACTCTAACACAGCACAGAAACACATACCAGAAACCCTCAATCACAGAGTAAAGTTCTCTACCTGCTGGAATATGAAAGGGAGGGAAGCAGCTTTAAAAAGATAAGAAAGATTTTGTTAAAGAGGAAAAAAAATTTTCCTTACTATCAAGCTGTAGAACTCTAGTAATCACAAATCACTTCTGGGGATCTGAAGTCTGCAGCTGCTTTTGTTGGGGTGTTTTGGTGTTTTGGTTTTGTGGGTTTTTTTTCCCCAAAAGATAGAAGAGGGTAAATAAAAGATTTAAAGAGATGAGGGAAAACAAAGGAACAAGGATTTCACAGAAATGCTTTTCTTGCCTCCTTATGTTAGGTTAAATAAATTTCTATTTTTCTTTACCTTCATTGCTACTTCTGAGCTTATTGCTTATACTGCTTTCACACAATTTTTATTATAAGAGACAGAAGGAGCAAAACAGTTGTGACACAGTTTCCTAGTTCCCAAATTGTTCCTTTTGGTCACACTACCCACACTAGAGAAGTTTTCTTTACAAGATATTTTGTGAAAGTCATTAACTGATACTTCCCGGAAATCTCATATATTACATCAAATTTCTTCTACTTTTTTATACTTGTGCTTAAGAAGTGAAGCTATTGGAGCTTCCCCTTCCAACAGTGAAGCTGTAACATCTTTGCTACAATTCACCAGTTTAAAACCCCTACACACTATTCAATAAAACAGTCTTGTCCCTATTCATTGAAGTGTCATTAAGCGGGAGCATAATTTTTGTATTTATTACTTTTCACAACATTATCTAGGTTATCCAAGTGACCAAAAGGATGGAAATGTAGGCATTTACAAATTTCTGCACAAGAGCAGAAAACAAAGTATATCAGACCAGTCATATCTGCAAATGAAACTCTAGATGCTACAAGAGCAGAGATTTGGAATTAAATTAGTTATGCAAAAATATCTGGTTACATTTAATACTGCTTTACTATAGAATGGAAATGCATTTTACAGATGAATGAAATTCCAACATCTTTGCAGGGTTAGTTTATCAATCATAAAGAAAGCTACACTAACAAGCCTAGAATTTACTTTCCCGTGACTTTTTAGAACAACTATTAAACTGCATCTTTTCATGTATGTGGATGGGTGTGAACAGATCCCTGTTACATGCGCTGCCTGCGTTTTGAAACTGGCCTGTTTGTAGCCTGTTACATTTGAATAACTTCCAAAACGTTACAGACTAGCTGAACTAAGAATATATGAAATCAACCCAGAGGAAATACATTTTGGAACGGAATACACTTCCGAATCAAGCAGTCACTGTGTTCTGGCAGTCCTGGACATGCTGGCACACAGCACTAAGGAAACTAGCACCACTGAATGGACTACTAACCCCTTTGAAGTACTACTGCAACCCAAGTTTTTCTCACTTGGGGCTGCAAGTCCACAACATGCTGAACACTGCTAGAAGTCAAACGCAAAGGACAGCCATTTTACTCATCTCAGCATTA